ATACATTTAATACAAAGCTAAATCTTTATGTATTTATATGCATAATGTGAAATATAATTACTCGTAAAGTAAAAATAAATAATGTTTAAGGTAAAAACATGCACACATTTAAAAAATAATATGTAAATATGAATATGTATTATTAAAAATATGTAAAAATATATCTATAATTGTGTATTTTTATGTAAAGTTAAACGTGATAATTTTATCTAAATGTTAAGTTAAATACTTATCTTATCTTTAAAATTATTAAGTTAAACTTTCTATATTTAAATGCCAAATCTTGAAAATAAAACATAATAAATTTGATAAAATTAACTTACAATTGCTTGTGGCTAAAGAAAAAAACCCGGCAAAATTATGAATTCTTTTCTTTATGCAGCATGTCAAGTCTTCTTATTTCTTCCAGACGACCAAATAATATTTTTAAAAATTTACCATTTCCTATATACAATGTATATTAAGTGCCCTTCTGTTATTGAATGAAGAGTCTGTAGGGAGAGGTAGCATTTATATTATTACTTCCTCACGTGTATGTAGGAAGTTGATGTAAACGTGTGGAACTTGTGCTTAAATCAACACCTGACTTCCTCACGTTTTGTAAAAAGTTAACATAAACATGTGGAAACCTTTGGTAATTCCTACACCTGACTTCCGCAAGTTTTGAAGGAAGCTGTCAACATTGTAGGCTGTATAAGCATGACAATATGGCCAACTTTTGCATGTTTGTGAAAATTTATTATTGTCTAATTTCTTTAAAAAAAAATATGTTTCAAAAAAATGAATATCTGATCTAACATCTGGTGTACACAAGTAAAATTTACAGTAAAACCTGTGAACTTAGGTCGCAGAAAGTAGAGACCAAACATGGCCTTTATAGAAAGGTGGTCTTTAATTTGGAGGTTTCTTTCAAGTTTGTTTTGTTTAATCAATGAAAGGAGAGATCCAACATGATGTTTATAGTCAGGTTGTCTTTATTTGGAAGTTAGTATGTTCTATTTAATCAATTAAGGATTGTTTAATAGTGGTCTTAATTAGCAGGGTGGTCTTAATTCAGAGGTGGTCTTTAAAACAGGTTTTATGTTAATTTGATCTTAACATGCATTACAAATTAATTTAGTAATGATTTTATGCTGTTGATAGTGGTTTCAAATCATTTTGACCGAATTTTGCTACATTAAGTCTTCAGCAAATCATGATGTCACATGATATTTAAAAATGATTTAGCATTTGGAATAAGTTACATTTTTAACATGTTAAAGATATACTTTGAAATTTAATTTTGTTTACATTTAATGTTAGAAAAAGGAAAATAGCTGTTTCTGTCCACAAACAAATTGTTTGGGCAATTCTTCCCACATGACTAATTTCATTGGATTATGATAGTCACATGGGAATTAAGTCACAAGACTTGCTAGTCACATGACATTTATGTCACATGACTTTAATCACATGAATGCTGTTATGAAACAAAATTTCTGTATATATTTATAAAAATGACATAGTGCATACGTATTACATGTATATTATACAATATTTGTTTATCACATTTGATTCTATTGTTCTCAAAGGATGGTCAGAACTTTTGTTGTTTGTTGTTTATATAATGGATGTATGGAGTTCCAATCTTAAAACTTTCAGTCTTAAGAAAATTTCTATATATAAAATTTCAAAAATTGATTATGTTAGGATAGTTATGATGTTTGGTTGGTCAAGATTGAGACTCTGGCCTGATTCAATAAATGGTGTGCCATTGGCCTGCTTTATTACGACTAGAATGCAAATGATGAGCAGGAAGGGAATTTGGGGCGTGCGGGGGGGGGGGCAAATATCTGAATACCTGATGTATGGCAGACAAGCTTGAAGTACAAATGTATAGTGGTTTTCTAACCAGATTATCAACTTAAGATTCAATAAAGCCATGTTTAGTGTCAGCAGCTTAAAAAAAAAAATTGGTATAAATGTTAAATGTGTAATACTATTTAAGGCACATTATGCCTCAGAAAGGAATAAATTTTTACATCCTTTAGGAGGGCAATCTTGATAGAATTTTGTAACATTTCAATATTGGTGTTAGAGAATTGTCAGATGCTTATAACATGAAGAAAGTTGCATGGAATGTGAAATTATTTGTCATAAAAGTATCAAAGAGTAAATAAAGTAGTATTTTGACCTCCATACAAAATACTATATCACTAAATCTGTACTAATTACTAAAAGGCAACAGAAGCAAACGATGGTTCAGGCAATTGGCAAGTGAGAATTGTGATAAACTATAAAAATTAAAGAAATATAAAAAAGCATTACTTAGGCATAATGTGCCTTTAATAATGCTCATTTCTGAAGCTCAAAGGTCTACAACTAACTCAACAAAAAACGAAGAAATACAAGGACAATTATTATTTTTGTAATGTCTCTTTAAGGCTTCAAGATAGATATAAATGCTTGTTGTTTGTTTATGTGACGTTTGGAAGGAAACATATGAGATATATACATGTACAATATCATAAGCAAACCATCCTTTGATAATGTACAGATTGAAATATTTTATGCACTTTATAGTCGTGTATTATATAACGGTAACTTAGGATCCCGAAGCAGCAAGTGTTGTTTCCATGGTTTTTATAAGATAAACATTACATATAGAATTGTAGAACGTGACTGATGCATATTGACATATGTTTCAGTCGATGTGTGATAATCAAATGATGGCATTTTTAACGAATTTTATACATGTTAATTTTATTTTCATGTAACTGTTTTGTTTGTAGCTCGACTATTGGTTCAAAGAATAGGGAGAGCTTTTTTTGTACTCACTCAGGTGTGACAGAATCACACTTTGGATAAGTTTTTGCGTGCAAGTTACATGGTATCTCATAAACTACTGAAGGGAATGGGTTGAAATTTCACACACTTATATGAGAGCATGATAGGAGATGTTTATCTAAGACCCATAACTCTAACATGGATTTTGACAGAATTATGATCCTTTTTGAAATAAGAAAATTATACATTATCAAAGTCCAAGCACTGAGAAAAGTTGAGCACGCTGTCCTACTTATATGAGAAATTCACGTTGAATAAAAAAAAGATGGTGTCTATGGATTTTTCAGTTGACCATGATGGAAATGCAGAATTTATTTTTGTTTGTTTATGTAGGAAAAGCTATAAGCATATTGACACACACTCAAATCTGTTCTTGAAATCAGTCAGTTCAAGCAATGAGTGTCAAGGAAACAACAGCTTACTCTTGATGGGGTTTGAACCCATGCAGCCAAAGAAACAGTAAAATTGTGTTATTTTTGTAACCTTATGGTTGTAACACAGAGTGTCTATGTAATTTAACATACGTATTGTATATTAACAGAACAAAATGTTCCGAAACAAAATATTGAAAGCTGCTTCATTTAGAAGGTTTGGCAATGATTTTATGCATGTCCATGCACCCTTTCCATAAAATAAAGTGACAAATTACTTGCATTCCAGGTTTTCTATTATCATTTTAATCATAAAATAAACAATTGTTTCACATTCTGTGATAAGCAAATATATAGCTTTATAAAAGGAAATTAAACTTACGGAATGTCAGTGGTTTTACTCAGGTGCCCGTTTGAGCCTGAAATAATTCATGGAAAGGGCACAGGAGGTTTTCCTCCACCAGTAAAGCTGGAAAGTTGACATATGACTTATACTTTGTTGATGAAAAAAGTATGGGGGGGGGGGGACACAGCTGGAAGGTAGTGTTAACAATTGCAGGTTCCTGTGTTACACAGGTTTATCTGTAATGATGCTATTCTGACATTTGCAAGACAAATACTATTACATATCAGGTCTTAATTCTTATTAATCAAAGTAATATTGACCTTTATTGGTTACTTAAACAATGCTTCTATTCAAGTTAAAGATGCTTCTCAAACTGCTGAGTGTTGCAACAAATAATTAGATGTTTTACCATGATGAGGGTTGTTTTAGGAAATATTTCCGCAATATTGGATTTAAGTTAATGGACTACAGAGAATTGCGTAAGAATATGATATTGCATGTAATTTTTTTTCAAGATTTTTTTTTAAATAATTGTATTATTGAGAAAGCTTAATAATTCAGCTAGCTTACAGAGCATTGGTGGTTCTACTCATGTGCCTGTTTGTTCCTGAAATACTGTACAAAGGGGCAGCTGAGGTCTTATCCTCCACCAGTAAAGGCTGGAAAGTTACCATGTGACCTATACTGTATTGGTGTGATTTAAATGAATGAGCTACTTGTACAGGGGTTTTCCCTGTTAATTGGGAAGAGGCTTTAGTTTAACCTTTAGGTTTTGGGAAGAATTTTTGCTAAACTTGCTGATTTGAGAAGATAAAGAAAGCTATTTAAAGTTTGAATCTTTGAAGAAAAAAAAACCTGAATTGTAAAGAAAATTTCTATTTGGGAAAAGGCCTTTTATAGTACTGAACCTGGTCAGACTGCACAGATATGCATGCTCTAGTCTTGGTCTATACTGGTGGCAAATTTAAAGGCTTACCACTTTTGGTGCCAGCAGGTTTTGTGCTGATGCATGTACATCTCATCTACCAATGACTGGATAACATATCAAGGAACTACTTTGTTGTTTTTGTTTTATTATTAGATAATGAATTTTCTACTTGATTATTTTTAGCAAAAATATACCTGTCAAAATTAATGGTTTTTGTTTTGATCAAAAATTGAGTATGAATCCATGTTGTATAATTTTATGACATGGAAATAAGTGCTGACCTACCTGAAACATTATGATGTCTCATTTATTCTTTTAGAAGTCAGTTTCATATGTACCACATCAAAGGGTCACATATGTACCACAGCAAATGATCACATATGTATCACATCAGTGGATCACATATATATGTAAGGCAGCAAAGGGTCACATATGTATCACATAATACCCTAATAATTTCAGTCAAGGCCATTTTAAAACAGATTTTGATGCAAAAACGTTCATTCATTATTTCTTTGTGTGTTTTCAGGAAATGTGAAGCAAAAGTGTTACTGTTGCCATCCAAAAAACCAGAGTGAGGGGCGTAGCATTTCTAAAACAGCCATGCCTACTATGTCAACAAAGCCGGGTCCAGAGGTGGGCCTGGAGGAAGAGGGTTGTACTTTTCCATGCTGGCGGACACTCCCCGATCACATCTTGCTGCACATCTTCAGTTTCTTAGAAGCTTCAACGCTTGCCAAGGTGAAGTTTTAACCTTCTTTGATATAATTTATGACATACCTGTTCGGCTTTTGCGACTCTTTATAAATGGTATTGCACGGCCATGTATTATTTTTGACAAATACAAACATACTGTCATACAAACATAGCGTAAAGATGTGCTTAATGTTAGTGTTTCACTTTAGGCGCATCAATGAAATATGATTCTTTTTCACTTGAAACAGTCTTTTTCTTGGATATTGGATAAATAGATTATTATATTCGTGCAGATTCATAACTGAATTTATTGAATGAGTTGAATTAAATTTTAAAAAAAATAAAAATATTAAGCTTGCCACAAAGGCTCCCATAATGTATTTTTATTTTACTTGTTCAGTAAATTTAATATTGAACCTACACTTTAATATCCTCTATGTTGAACATTGGACTCTTTAACTTTTAACCTCCTGATTTGAGTCATGGATTTGCCCTTCTTTGGTTATGGAACAATCCATTTAAATGTGTAAGCATTTCTACCAACAGTCAATTTTATTCCCTCACTATTTTTAGCTCACCTGTCACAAAGTGACAGGGTGAGCTTTTGTGATCGCTTTTCGTCCGGCGTCAGGCCGTCCGTCGTCCGTCCGTCCGGCGTCCGTCCATCCGTCGTCCGTCCGTAACTTTTACTTTAAATGACATCTCCTCATAAACCACTAAGCCAATTTCATCCAAACTTCACAGGAATGTTCCTTTGGTGGTCACCTTTAAAAATTGTTCAAAGAATTTAATTCCATGCAGATCTCTGGTTGCCATGGCAACCGAAAGAAAAAAACTTTAAATATCTTCTTTCAAAAACCATAAGAGCTAGAGCTTAGATATTTGGCATGAAACATCTTCTAGTGAGTTTCTACCAAGTTTGTTAAAATAAAAGCCCTAGGGTCAAAATTGGCCCCGGGGGGGGTCATTGATTTTCCCTATATGCATTTAGTAAAAACTTAAAAAATCTTCTTTTAAAGAACCCAAAGAGCTAGAGCTAAGATATTTAGCATGAAACATGTTCTAATAGGTGTCTACCAAGTTTGTTCAAATAAAAGCCCTGGGGTCAAAATTGGCCCCAACCCAGGGGGTCATTGATTTTCCCAATATGCATATAGTAAAAACTTAAAAAATCTTCTTTTAAAGAACCAAAAGAGTTAGAGCTAAGATATTTAGCATGAAACATCTTCTAATAAGTGTCTACCAAGTTTGTTCAAATAAAAGCCCTGGGGTCAAAATTGGCCCTGCCCCGGGGGGTCATTGATTTTCCCTATATGCATATAGTAAAAACTTAAAAAATCTTCTTTTAAAGAACTCAAAGAGCTATGGCTAAGATATTTAGCATCAAACATGTTCTAATAGGTGTCTACCAAGTTTGTTCAAATAAAAGCCCTGGGGTCAAAATTGGCACCGCCCCAGGGGTCATTGATTTTCCTTATATGTGTATAGCAAAAACTTAAAAAATCTTCTTTGAAAAAACCCAAATAGCTAGAGTTAAGATATTAAGCATGAAACATCTTTTAGTGAGTGTCTACAAAGTTTGTTCAAATAAAAGACCTGGGGTCAATATTGGCCCTGCCCCGGGGGTCATTGATTTTCTTTATATGTGTATAGCAAAAACTTAAAATCTTCTTTGAAAAAACCCAAATAGCTAGAGTTTAGATATTAAGCATGAAACATCTTCTAGTAAGTGTCTACAAAGTTTGTTCAAATAAAAGCCCTGGGGTCAAACTGGCCCGGCCCCAGGGGTGTCATTGTTTTTAACTATATGTGTATAGTAAAAACTTTTAAAAAATCTTCTTTTAAAAAGCCCAATGAGCTAGAGCTAAGATGTTTAGCATGAAACATCTTCTTATGGGTGTCTACCAAGTTTGTGCAAATAAAAGCCCTTTGGTTAAATTGGCCCTGCAACGTTGGGGGGGGGGGGTTGGGGGCCTATATACAGGTGAGCGACCTCAGGGCCATCATGGCCCTCTTGTTTGTAATGTTAATTTCCTATAGCTCAATGGTTTATTTCCTATAACACAATTCTTGCTGTTATTACAAGTAACTCCTTTTCCAATAAATTTCAATTCAAACTTTTGCAGTAAATTTCAATTCAAACCACTTGTCCACACCTCTGCGGGTTTGAAACCAAACAGAGACTTTTGGATTCTTCCATGTGAGAAAGCTAACCAGCTAGCCAATCAAACAACGAAACAATAAATTTAGATGTAAAATTTGGGATAGAAAACTTATATAAGTGAAAGATTTGATATATATGTGAATGTTTATATATTTTACAGGCTGGCCTTGTATGTAAAGCTTGGTTACGAGTCGGTTTCGATGAGCTTCTGTGGAAAGACTTGTTTTACCGTCACTGGGGTATATCTAGGTCAATAATGATGGCCCCTGGAAAATACTCGTGGATTCAGGAGTATAAACGTCTGCTTTACCACACACCCTCTGTTGAGAGCGAAGTTTTGAAACAGCACGCTGATCAGGTGTTACATGTCAGTTTCTCTCACAACGGGAAAATGTTCGCTACATGTTCAAAAGATGGTTTCATAAGGGTAAGGGAGATAAAAAAGTTTTGAAATGTTTTCAGATACAAGATTCAAAGTCTTTGTTTTATACTGTTAACTATAACCAACTGTTAATAAAGTTTGTTTTACTGCCTTAAATGTACAATCATACTTTTATGGGATTGTAAAAGTGGAACAAACAAAAAATTGATCATGTTCAGCAAATCAAATTAAATGTTTCATTTAGTTGTTTAAAGAAATTAAAAATAATTATTAATTTCAAAGGTTACCTTTAAAGTATCTTGAAAATTTAATTATGTTTTTTAAGAATTGGAATTTATGATGGTATTTGCGGTATCTCACATTACTGTATCTACCCACAAGGTAAGTTTTCCCTGCAAAGTTATAAGGTTATATCTTAGACCCAGGTATTACAGACCACAGAAAATATGAGTCACCGCAAATAACTGCAGATATAAGTGAAAAAATTTAGACCCCGACTTATAAATGATCAGTCGTATAGTTGAATAAATATAGCAGCTTGTCTGAAGATTTCCAGAAAAATTAATAAGATGTTATAAGGTATAAGATTATGTAAGCATACATGCCATTAAGTTCCATCCTTAAGACATTCATTTTAGAGCTAAAACACATGAAAATTTCCGCTAAATATGAGGTTATCAAGTCTACAGGAATCTGCAAATATTTCATTTTTATCCCAAAAAAATGGCTAATTGTTCATGAAAAACATAGCTTTATACTAATCTGTGACAGATTGAATTTACAAACCATTTTTACTTTAAAAAAAAAAGATAAACTGCCAATTATTATTGACATTTTGTCTTGTTTACATTGTCATAATATTTTTCATAGATAAAAAAAGGTTGATTAGAATCAAGACTTAAAACAAAATCACATTTTCTATTGTTTAGGTATGGGACGCAACATACCCTACTTCCATCAAGTACAAGACAGATATGCGAAAGTTCACTTGGAAATACACTCAATTCTCGCAGTTTAACTCTATGGACACTCTACTTCTTGTCTCTGGCGTACACTTCGGATCTCTGAGCACTTCTGGTGAAATAGCTGTCTTCAGTTTAGAAGGTAAGATCAAGAATCTATTTATTTTTTGTAATCAATTTTCAAATCTATATTTTCTTTTTGTCAGATGATGTTGTTCTTAGTGATAGCTTTATACACAATTTATTTTAGTTTGATTGTGTAGGAAGCTTCAGAATCAATATACACTTCAGCCTCATTAAAACGCTCATGTTGGGGTCCAATGTCTCAACACCCATTCTAACGAGGCTCATTAGAACGCTCATTGCGAAATTACAGCATTACCCCACCCACTGCACATATATATAACGCTGATTTTTTTTACTTACTGTTCAATGAATATTGACTTTATCTTTTTCTAAAAACATTCAATGATGTTAACATCTATTATATTCACAAATACTACTAATAATATTTAAAAGAAAGGAAAAACTTTCGAAAGAAAATTATAAATCATGAATGAAGTAAACAGGTAGCCATTACTGTAATGACGTTTAATTAACTAGGGGACACAACTAAAGCTGGACTGTAAATTACACTGTAATTTACAGTCCATCTTTAGTTGTGTCCCCTATTAAATCAAACGCCAATTACTTCCTGTCATGGCCGCTGTATTTACAGTGCAGGATTTTAAATTGATTTTGGGCTTGTGGGTTATTAAATTCAGCTAGGTTTACATGTCAAAGATATGTAAGAATTTTAGTTTATTTATACTCACCACAGGTTGCCAATGTCACAGTTTTGATATGAATTTGAGATTTTGGAAACAATTTGAAGACAGGTTAAATAACAAAAGAGCGGATAAACGCTTACCTTGGCATGTTTTTCACACCTTTGGCGATCATAAATGTCCTAATAACAATTGTTTATTGTACTTGACTATCAAATTGAGCAAGCGTTATAGCGCTATAAATCTAAGTCTACTAAAAAAAAAATTTTTTTTTGGGGGGGGGGGGGGGGGGGGGGGGAGGAGCCAAGGTCTATGAGCGCTATACTGAGATTAGCGTTATAATGAAGAGCGAGTTATCGAGGCTACAGTGTAGTACCTAACAATGTATATTGAACTCTTAATTTCTTTAGGAAAAAGACACATTAAAACAAAGAGAACACACAAAATCAACACTGTTTTTGTGTTGTATTAAAGATACAGTTACTGTCTGTGCAATATGGATTTGATATAGATTTATTGGAGTTAGAAATTAAAAATAAGGCTTGTTAGAGTATAATATGAATTTGATATAGATTTTGGACTCAGTAAATGTAAAACAAGGCTAAATAAAGTACAATATTGCACTTGATACAGATTTTTTGGACTCTTCGAAATGAAAAAAAAGTTAAATGGCTACGGTTTGATTCAAGAATGATTTATATTGGAACATCACATGCAAGTTTATTGGTAACATTTGATAAGGTATCAATTAAGGGTAAAATGGTTTGGGTGAATTAAACATGTATAGTTCCCCCTCACTACCGATAATAAGTGTAAATATTGTTTATGTTCAGGTGAATATATCCCCTCCCTCACTACCAATAATAAGTGTAAATATTGAGTATGTTCAGGTAAATATATCCCCTCCCTCACTACCAATAATAAGTGTAAATATTGTGTATGTTCAGGTGAATATATCCCCTCCCTCACTACCAATAATAAGTGTAAATATTGAGTATGTTCAGGTGAATATATCCCATCCTTCACTACCAATAATAAGTGTAAATATTGAGTATGTTCAGGTAAAAAAATATCCCCTCCCTCACTACCAATAATAAGTGTAAATATTGAGTATGTTCAGGTGAATATATCCCTCCCTCACTACCAATAATAAGTGTAAATATTGTTATGTTCAGGTAAAAATATCCCCTCCCTCACTACCAATAATAAGTGTAAATATTGAGTATGTTCAGTGAATATATCCCCTCCCTCACTACCAATAATAAGTGTAAATATGAGTATGTTCAGGTGAATATATCCCTTCCCTCACTACCAATAATAAGTGTAAATGTTGAGTATGTTCAGGTGAATATATCCCTTCCCTCACTACCAATAATAAGTGTAAATATTGAGTATGTTCAGGTGAATATATCCCTTCCCTCACTACCAATAATAAGTGTAAATATTGAGTATGTTCAGGTGAATATATCCCTTCCCTCACTACCAATATAAGTGTAAATATTGAGTATGTTCAGGTGAATATATCCCTTCCCTCACTCACCAATAATAAGTGTAAATATTGAGTATGTTCAGGTAAATATATCCCCTCCCTCACTAAACCAATTATAAGTGTAAATATTGAGTATGTTCAGGTGAAATATATCCCTTCCCTCACTACCAATTATAAGTGTAAATATTGAGTATGTTCAGGTGAATATATCCCTTCCCTCAACTACCAATAATAAGTGTAAATATTGAGTATGTTCAGGTAAATATATCCCCTCCCTCACTACCAATAATAATTGTAAATATTGAGTATGTTCAGGTGAATATATCCCTTCCCTCACTACCAATTATAAGTGTAAATAGTGAGTATGTTCAGGTGAATATATCCCTTCCCTCACTACCAATAATAAGTGTAAATATTGAGTATGTTCAGGTGAATATATCCCTTCCCTCACTACCAATAATAAGTGTAAATATTGAGTATGTTCAGGTGAATATATCCCTTCCCTCACTACCAATAATAAGTGTAAATATTGTGTATGTTCAGGTGAATATATCCCTTCCCTCACTACCAATAATAAGTGTAAATATTGAGTATGTTCAGGTGAATATATCCCTTCCCTCACTACCAATTATAAGTGTAAATATTGAGTATGTTCAGGTGAATATATCCCTTCCCTCACTACCAATAATAAGTGTAAATATTGAGTATGTTCAGGTAAATATATCCCTTCCCTCACTACCAATAATAAGTGTAAATATTGAGTATGTTCAGGTAAATATATCCCTTCCCTCACTACCAATTATAAGTGTAAATATTGTGTATGTTTAGGTGATTATATCCCCTCACTATTAGTTATAAGTGTATTTGTACCTTCAGGTGAATTCATAATGCAGAGTCGGGTGATGAACAAGCCCTATGATGTGTTTGGAACATGGTATAACGATTTCTACCTGCTGTCAGGAAATCTTCATTGGACGGGTCATCTCAACTCATGTTCTGCTATCTGGTTAAATAAGGTACCGGTAGATTCATTTATAAGCTAAACTATTCAAAGAGTAATAGTGCGATAAGTGCTATTCTTCTTACCTAATGTCAGCATTACACTGGTTTAAGTTTTACATCTTACTTCTCAAACAACTTCATGGCTCATCAACAAGTAAAAATATTTGATTGTTACACATATCTTGAATTTGTAAAAATCCTGGTTAAAGTTTTGCATAATTCGGCTCTTGTACCATCAATTACTGAAAATTGTTAAATACATTTTAGATTGTTGTAATATTGTAAAGTTAATGTAAAATCCTACTTCTATTTTTAGGCTTATCAAGAGACAACTTCAGAGGAAGAATCAGTTGTGATGAGACTTTTCAAGTTTTCAAACATCAATGCAAGCTCTATACGTACAATAATGATTGCCAACTGTCTGTCTGACGAGGCAGAAGCCCAGGCTGCAGAAGATAAATCCCTTACAGAAGACAATAGTGCTGCTGATAATACTTCACTTGTATCGCTGCCTCTGATTGGTGACTTTTTCTCCAATCAGGAAGAGGAAGACATGATTGAAGAGCAAGAGGAACCTAATGATGCAGAAGAGGGCAAAGAAGAGAAAAACACAGTAAAGAAGATTGGGAAAAATACTTCTAAAGCTTTGCAGAGTATCCAGGTGTTTGAAAACGGAGAGTTTATTACAAAATTTCTAGAAGTTGATGCAGATGAGCCAAATAATAAGTTAAATGGCACAATAGAGTACAGTAGTGACTATAGACTGGCAGAGACTCCAAATGTTCTGAAAATGAAGGTTTTATGTGGCGATACTTCTGGTTCCGAGCTGAGTACCAATGGAAACCAGTCTGGTTCAGAAATAGGAAGTGTGAATGGTTCGTCAGATGTCTTTGATCACAGTCACTCTTCTCTGGATGTGGATATGGGTAATATTTTAATGATGTTTATCAGTATTTTTTTGCCATGTGGAGGCCGTAAAAAAGTCGCCCGTACATATAATAAAAGATGCTATATTTTTCAATCCTTGAAGATCTTTCAGCACAACTTTATTGTTGTATATTCATGTTATGTGGTACTTTTAGTTCCTTCTATTTGACCTTTTACAACTTGGGTTTTTTTTATCCCCCGCCGAAAATTTTCGGCGGAGGATATAGAAATAGTCTCAATCCGTCCGTATGTCCGTCCGACCTTCCGTCCGTCTGTCCTTCCGTCCGACATTTTTGTCCGGAGCATATCTCTAAAAGTATTTGAGTTATCAACTTGAAACTTCATAGGTGGATAGACCTCATTGAGGAGGAGTGCAGTGCACAAGAATGATAACTCTACCTTTCATGATTTTTGAGTTATTGCCCTTTGTTATTTTTCAAAATTGATTTTTGTCCAGAGCATAACTCCAAAAGCCTATGGGATATTAACATGAAACTTCATAGGTGCATAGATCTCACTCAGGAGGTGTGCAGTGCACATGAATGATAACTCTACCTTTCATAATTTTTGAGTTATTTCCCTTTGTTATTTTTCATACCTAATTTTTCACCTGAGTGGAGCATAACTCAAAAAGTGTTTGAGATATCAACATGAAATGTCATAGGTGGATAGATCTTATTGAGGAGGAATGTTATATGTGGATAGACCTCATTGAGGAGGAGTGCAGTACACAAGAATGATAACTCTACCTTGCATGATTTTTGAGTTATTGCCCTCTGTTATTTTTCAAAATTGATTTTTGTCCAGAGCATTACTCCAAAAGCCTATGAGATATTAACATGAAACTTCATAGGTGCATAGATCTCACTCAGGAGGTGTGCAGTGCACATGAATGATAACTCTACCTTTTATAATTTTTGAGTTATTGCCCTTTGATATTTTTCATACCTAATTTTTCACCTGAGTGGAGCATAACTCAAAAAATGTTTGAGATATCAACATGGAATGTCATAGGTGCATAGATCTTATTGAGGATGAATGTTGTGCGCAAGAATGATAACTCTTCCCTATACAATTTTTGAGTTATTGCCCTTTGTTTTTATGCTATTTTGTCCAGAGCTTATCTGAAAAAAGTATTTGAGGTATCAACTTGAAACTTCAAAGGTGGATGGATCTCATTGAGGAGGAGTGCAGTGCTTAAGAATGATAACTCTACCCTGCATTATTTTTGAGTTATTGCCCTTTGTTATTTTTCAAAATTAATTTTTGTCCAGAGCATAACGCAAAAAGCCTTTGAGATATCAAAATGAAACTTCATAGGTGCATAGATCTCACTCAGGAGGTGTGCACTGCACAAGAATGATAACTCTACCTTTTATAATTTTTGAGTTATTGCCCTTTGTTATTTTTCATACTTAATTTTTCAATTCAAGTTTTTTCTCAAAAAGTATTTGAGGTATCAACTTGAAACTTCATAGGTGGATAGATTTTACTGAGGAGGGATGCAGCACTTAAGAATGATAACCTACCCTGCATTAATTTTCAGTTATTGCCCTTTTTTATTTTCATTCGTCAGTATTCACATAGGTTTCAAATCTGTAATCACTATAGCCATCAGTTTTCATTACCAAAAGACCTCTTAAAATAGAATTATTCTGTTCTACTACATATACATTCTTCCAATGAGCAAACACATTCGGCGGGGGATGGCCATGTTAACATGGCTCTTGTTCTCTATATTTTAACCCTTGCATGGTTTTAAAACCATGCAATAAAATATTTCTGTTCTTAACCCATGCAATAAAATATTTCTGTTCTTAGACCATGCAATAAAATATTTCTGTTCTAAGACCATGCAATAAAATATTTCTCTTTTAAAATCATGCAATGATTGATTTGTAAGACCATGCAATAACACATTTCTATTGTAAGACCTGGAAAAAATAAATTTCTGTTGTAAGACCATGTAGTAAAATATTATTGTTCCAAGGCCATGCTGTAAAATATTTCTTTTATAAGACCTTGCAGTGAAGTATTTCTGTTCTAAGACCTTGCAGTGAAGTATTTCTGTTCTAAGGCCATGTGATTAAATATTTTTGTTCTAAGACCATGCAATAAAATATTCCTGTCAAGACTATGCAATAAAATATTTCTGTTCTAAGGCCATGCAATAAAATATTTCTGTTATAAGATCATTCAATAAAATATTTCTGTTTTAAGACCATGTAGTAAAATGTTATTGTTCCGAGACCATGCTATAAAATATTTAAACTTTTATTTTAAATGTCATCTCCTCATAAACCACTTAACCAATTCATCCAAACTTCACAGGAATGTTCCTTTGGTGGTCACCATTAAAAATTGTTCAAAGAATTTTATTCCATGCAGAACTCTGGTTGCCATGGCAACCGAAGGAAAAAAACTTAAAATATCTTCTTTAGAAAAAACCTAAGAGCTAAAGCTTAGATATTTGGCATGAAACATCTTCTAGTGAGTGTCTACCACTTTTGTTCAAATAAAAGCCCTGAGGTCAAAATTGGCCCCTCCCAAGGGGGTCATTGATTTCCCCATATGCATGTAGTAAAAACTTTAAAAAAAATCATCTTTTATAGAACCCAAAGAGCTAGAGTTAAGATATTTAGCATGAAACACTTCTAATGAGTGTCTACAAAGTTTATTCAAATAAAAGCCCTGGGGTCAAAATTGGCCCCGCCCCAGGGTGTCATTGATTTTCCTTGAATGTGTAAAGCAAAAACTTGAAAAATCTTCTTTAAAAATCCAAATAGCTAGAGTTTAGATATTAAGCATGAAACATCTTGTAGTAGGTGTCTACAAAGTTTGTTCAAATAAAGGCCCTGGGGTAAAAACTGGCCCCGCCTCAGGGGTGTCATTGTTTTTAACTATATGTGTATTGTAAAAACTTAAAAAATCTTCTTTGAAAAAACCAATGAGCTAGAGCTTAGAAGTTTAGCATGAAACATCTTCTAGTGAGTGTCTACAAAAATTGTTCATTTAAAAGCCCTGGGGTCAAAATTGGCCCCGCCCCTCGGGTCATTGATTTTCCTTATTTGTGTATAACAAAAACTTAAAAATCTTCTTTTAAAAAACCCAAATAGCTAGAGTTTAGATATTAAGTATGAAACATCTTCTAATAAGTGTCTACAAAGCCCTGGGGTCAAAATTGGCATCGCGCCAGGGGTGTCATTGTTTTTAACTACGGTATATATGTATAGTAAAAACTTTAAAAATCTTCTTTGTAAAAAACTAAATGAGCTTGAGCTTAGACGTTTACCATAAAACATCTTATTGATGTCTATCAAGTCTGTTCAAATAAAGGCCCTTGGGTTAAGATTGGCCCTGTTGGGGGAGGCAGAGGCGTATATACAGGTGAGCGACCTCAGGGCCATCATGGCCCTCTTGTTATCATGTTTTAAAATAAATAAATGTTTTCATTCTTACTTTTCCCCCATAAAAAAGCATCTATATGTAGTTTTGTTTTGCTGCTAAACATGTGACTTCATCATGTGACGTAATGACTGGAGATAGATAAGATAATCTGACAGCTGATGATATAGACAGTAGCAGGATAAATTTCAGTTCTAAGAACATGCAATAAAATGTTTCTGTTATTAGACCATGCATTATTATATTTCTGTTCGAAGACGGTGTATATTCTAAGAACAAGCAATTGAATATATCTGTGTCTACATGTAAACAAATTTATTTCTTGCTGACACTGCATGGAATATTGGGAAACTGAATGTGTTAGCCTCATGAAATAAAGTTGTTACTTTTTAGCTCACCTTGCACAAAGTGCAGGTGAGCTTTTAGGATGGCCAACCAAATGGCGTCCGTCGTCTGTCGTCCGTCCACATTTTAAATATTCTAAGGACATCTTCTATGATACCGCAAGGCCAATGTTAATGAAACTTGGCAGGAATACTCTTTGTATGAAGCTCTATCAAGATTGTTCAAAGAATTCCATTTCATGCAGAACTCTGGTTGCCATGGCAACCGAAAGAAAAATCTTTAAATATCTTCTTTTAAAGAACCGTAAGAGCTAGAGCTTAGATATTTGGCATGAAACATCTTCTAATGAGTGTCTACCAAGTTTGTTCAAATAAAAGCCCTAGGGTCAAAATTGGCCCCGCCCCAGGGGGTCATTGATTTTCCCTATATGCATATAGTAAAAACTTTAAAAATCTTCTTTTAAAGAACCCAAAGAGCTAGAGCTAAGATATTTGGCATGAAACATCTTCTAGTGAGTGTCTACCAAGTTTGTTCAAATAAAAGCCCTGGGGTCAAAATTGGCCCCGCCCCGGGGGGTCATTGATTTTCCCTATATGCATATAGTAAAAACTTAAAAAATCTTCTTTTAAAGAACTGTAAAAAGCTAGAGCTTAGATATTTGGCATGAAACATCTTCTAGCGAATGTCTACCAAGTTTGTTCAAATAAAAGCCCTGGGGTCAAAATTGGTCCCGCCCCAGGGGGTCATTGATTTTCCCTATATGCATATAGTAAAAACTTAAAAAATCTTCTTTTAAAGAACTGTAAAAGCTAGAGCTTAGATATTTGGCATGAAACATCTTCTCCTGAATGTCTACCAAGTTTGTTCAAATAAAAGCCCTGGGGTCAAAATTGGTCCCGCCCCCAGGGGTCATTGATTTTCCCTATATGCATATAGTAAAAACTTAAAAAAATCTTCTTTTAAAGAACTGTAAAAGCTAGAGCTTAGATATTTGGCATGAAAACATCTTCTAGTGAATGTCTACCAAGTTCCAGTTTGTTCAAATTAAAGCCCTGAGGTCAAAATTGGCCCTGCCCCAGGGGGTCATAGATTTTCCCTATAGGCATATAGTCAAAACTTAAAAAATCTTCTTTTAAAGAACCCAAAGAGCTAGAGCTAAGATATTTGACATGAAATATCTTCTAGTGACTGTCTACCAAGTTTGTTCAAATAAAAGCCCTGGGGTCAAAATTGGCCCCGCCCCGGGGGGTCATTGATTTTCCCTATATGCATATAGTAAAAACTTAAAAAATCTTCTTTTAAAGAACCGTAAGAGCTAGAGCTTAGATATTTGGCATGAAACATCTTCTAGTGAATGTCTACCAAGTTTGTTCAAATAAAAGCCCAGGGTTCAAAATTGGCCCTGTCCCAGGGGGTCATTGATTTTCCCTATATGCATATAGTAAAAACTTAAAAAATCTTCTTTTAAAGAACCCAAAGAGCTAGAGCTAAGATATTTAGCATGAAACATCTTCTAATGAGTGTCTACCAAGTTTGTTCAAATAAAAGCCCTGGGGTCAAAATTGGCCCCGCCCCAGGGGGTCATTGATTTTCCCTATATGCATATAGTAAAAACTTGAAAAATCTTCTTTTAAAGAACTCAGAGAGCTAGAGCTAAGATATTTAGCATGAAACATGTTCTAATGGGTGTCTACCAAGTATGTTCAAATAAAAGCCCTGGGGCCAAACTGGCCCCGCCCCGGGGGGTCATTGATTTTCCTTATATGTGTATAGCAAAAACTTAAAAATCTTCTTTGAAAAAACCCAAATAGGTTGAGTTTAGATATTATACATGAAACATCTTTAAGTAAATATCTACAAAGTTTGTTCAAATAAAAGCCCGGGGGTCAAAACTGGCCCTGCCCCAGGGGTGTCATTGTTTTTAACTATATGTGTATAGTAAAACTTTAAAAATCTTCTTTTAAAAAACCCAATGAGCTAGAACTTAGATATACAGGGGGGGGGGGCGGGGGGGGGGGGGGGGTCATTGATTTTCCCTATATGCATATAGTAAAAACTTTAAAAAAAATTCTTTGAAAGAACACAAAGAGCTAGAGCTAAGATATTTAGCATGAAACATGTTCTAATGGATGTCTACCATGTTCGTTCAAATAAGAGCCCTGGGGTCAAAATTGGCCCCGCCCCGGGGGTCATTCATTAGCTCGACTTTTTTTTTAGATATATACATATCATATATATACATATATATATATATATATATATATATATATATATATATATATATATATATATATATATATATATATATATAATATGTATAACATAAATATATATAATGTATATATATATAGAGACATAAAAAATCTTCTTTTAGAAAACCCAATAAGCTAGACATTAGATGTTTAGCATGAAACATCTTCAAATGGGTGTTCAACCAAGTTTGTTCAAATAAAAGCCCTGGGGTTTAACCTTTTCCCTTATATAAGCGTGTTTCGACGGCTTTTTGCCCCCCCCCCCCCCTTTTTGAGGCCTCAAACAGTGAAAAAATGTCCTATTTAGACCCAAAACACTGTTTTTCGTTTGAGAAATGTTGTTAAAAAAAGTGACCATTTTTCGGCGCCGTCCCCCATCCAAATAATACATCAGGGGGTTGCCAGAAGGGGGATGTACCCCCTTCTGTTTGGGGGGTTTGAAGGGGGGCGGAGTCCCCCTCATCGCCAAGAAAATTTTGGACTTGTGAGAGGCTTAAAATGTCCCCAGGTTGATCATAAGGTAACGTGTAACCAACGCTGAAAAGCCTTTGACTCTATCTCAATTCCTTGAGAAGTTGCAAGCACTTTGAAATAAAATTTGATGGAAAAAATCGAGGCAAAAAAGTGATTTTTGGCAAAGGCAATGGTCCAGTCAACATTTGTGCCAAGTTTGATTAGTATTGAAGCATTTGTTATAGTTTCATAGCAGTTTGAACTTGTAAGAGGAGGCTTTTCAGTGAAAATGGCCATTTTTCACAATATGCTCATGGGGGAAAGGGTTAAACTGGCCCCGCTCCGGGGGGCCTATATACAGGTGAGCGACTTTGGGCCATCATGGCCCTCTTGTTTACTTACTTACTACTTATTTACTATTAATAAACATGTATATTATTTTTGATAGGGAGAAAAAGCAGTAGATCTGACATAGAAGATAGCCAATCAGATCAAATGCTGACTGTTAAACGACAGTCCTTACAGCCCAGTCCATGCAGTGCGGAACATGTTCAGTTTGCACTATCAGACTTCGCTCCCTTGGCACTAGAAGAAAGGTCAGAATCTCCCATGTTGAGTCCCAGACCAGATCTTAGTTCAATAGAGTTACAGTCTGATAGGAATAGTGAAAGTTCATTGGAGTCCCAGTCTATAGAATTCAGTCAAGCTTCTTTAGAGGACCAGTCTATTTTTGAAAGACAACCCTCAGAATTGGTGGATTCATCCACTGAAACAATTACAGGTAGAATTTTAGTTATTTACTTAATTTTAGGTAGATATTTATGTATTTTTTTAACTTTTTTAATCGAAGAATAGGGAGAGTGATTATAATCACCCAGGCATTGACATCACACTTCCGTTTAGTTTTTGTGGAAAACTGCTGAAGGGAATAGGTTTAAACTCTTCATACACTTATTTGAGAGCATAATAGGAGGTCACTTTCCAAGGCCCATAACTCTAACATTCTTTTTGACAGAATTATGACCCTTTTTGAACCTAGAAAATTCTACATCATTCAGGCACCTTTTTTACTACCAAGCAGTGGGAATTGCTTTTTTTTTGGCATTATAAGATTTTTAATAATATATTTACTTTTTTTGGACCAGAGACTTATATTAATGTAGTTCTACAATTTACCCATATTTTGAAGTAGTCGTCTTTTAAAATTGTAATATATCTCTGTTTTATTAAATATGCTATAATTTTATTTATTGTCATTATTTCATGCAGTAGTGCAATTAATATATGATATTATCAAAAATTATTCTGTTATATCAGGAGAGCCCCAAGAGGCGCAGAATGAGCGTGTCGCTGAGGTTTCTAGTCAATTGTCCAGCTACAAATATAGTCCAAAACGTGTCTTACATGGCCAACAACAGCGCCATGGTGAGAGGGTTCGAGACCCGTCAACTTGTGAACACGAGTTTAAGATGGAGACTAACACAAGCATAGAGGCTGGTTCAAGCTCCAGTGAGAGCCTCGAGCTCCCGGAAAAGACTCCACGGTTGGCGTTTTGTTGCGTAGATTATAAAAAACAGAAAAAAGTTGTGCCATTTAAGCAAGCATTTGCTGCTAATAGAGCTTCAAATAGGACATCAAAATCCAAAACTTGTTTAAGTAGTAATTCTGTGGAAACTATTGAGAGTGATAATAGATTTGAAGCAAATTCAGACTGTGCACAGGTTAAAAGTGAGCATAATGCGGGTAAAAATATACAGTCTAAAATGTGTCTTGGAAGACAGTCGATGGAGGCTGTCGAAGATGTGCCAAAATCTGAGGTGAGGGTTGAAAATAGTCAAGGAAGGACACAGTCTAAAATGTGTACAAGTACGGATAACCAGTCTGGTTCAGATGTTGGAATAGACTGTGTTCCTGGACGAGTACAGTCCAGAATTTGTGCTGGAATTGGAACTGCTTCAATGGAAAACTTGGAGAATCAGGCAGGTGATAGTGACATGAAAATCAAATGTAAGCCAGTCCGAAATACTTGCAATATGCAGTCTGATACGACGTCAGTTACAATATCGTCAAGTAGCAGCCAGTCAAATATATACAAAGCTGAAGACAGTGTTCCGAAACTGAAATACAAAAGTAAACGAGCTAAGAAAAAGAAAGCTCGCAAAGTGAAAGACAAATATCTTATATTCACGAAAGGGTCAGAAACGTATACTCCGCACCAGATTGGAATTAAAAGAATTAAGCCGTTCAGCGATGACGGTTCACGTCTGCTGCCAAATGTTGCAGATAATACGCATAATCTCGAACAAGGCGACGAAAATTACGACGACGTAGATCACTTGATTGACATGCATGGCCATATCATTGGTATGACATTGTCACCAGATCAAAGGTACACAGATTTCTTATTTACACTTTCTGAGTCTTAACATCGAAGTGAATTTTGTATTAACAAAGAAAGGCTTACGTTAAATGGCAAATATTATATTTTGACATAAATAGAATTTTGTTTTATCAAAGAAAAGTTTACATGGAATGATAAAATTTATGTATTGACATCGAATTGAATTTTTTTGTTATCAAAGAAAAGTTAACTTACGTTAAATGGCAAAATTTTTGTAGCAAAGTGAGGGTGCAAGAAACCTATATGCTATAACCTATTTTTATATAAAGTCAGAAAGAGGTCATTTTATTGTTAAACATAAATGTACATTAAATAAAAGCACTTCTAGATGAGAAATTTATCAAATATAATTTAAAGTTTTGCTTGAAATTTACTGAATTAGGACTATTTTACTAAATGTAACTTTTAAGAAATGACTATTGTTTTTTAAGCCCCTGACTACAAAATTATAAGAATAATGATGTTCACTAGCATAATTAGGGTTGACAGCAAAAGTGTTGTAAGACCTTCTTTATTCATATAAGTTACAACAGTTTCGCACTCAACCCTTGATATACAAAAATAAGTCTGATTGATGATATTATAGTTGTGGTTGGATTGATTGTGAATGAAAGTTATAGATTAAAATTGCTATGGTAATAGACATTTACGCATTCAAAGAATGTGAGAATTGTAATTGTGTTAATAATTTAATCTAGGTTGATTAAATAGAAAACATGTAGTAGAAATATGATAATAATAACAATATTGCCATTATGAGTGCTTGACCTCTGTCATACTTATAGGATGTTGGTGTGTTTTTAGTAATGTATTAAATCCTTAAAATATGGTATTTTACTTTCATTGGAGAAGCCGATAGGTAAAGTACCTATGATATATATATAGCTATAATTCTATAAAAAATACTAAAAATAACTGACATTAACTGATGTTTTTCATTAAATAATGCCAACTGCTTATCTATATCATGGGGGAAAATAAACATTTTCTATATATAGTGAACTCCATGTATTTATATTTACAGATACCTGTATGTGAACAGTCGACCTTGGCCGAAGAATTACCACATAGAAAATCCTCTGTATCCGCCACCGATCGCACAGGAGATAGATATCCATGTGATTGACCTACTTAATATGCGAGAGGTTGGTACAATGCACAGGGCTCACAAGGCGTACACGTCAAATGATGAATGTTTCTTTATATTTCTAGATGTTTGTGAGGAATATGTGGCAAGGTATTGCAGAATTGTTGTTGTTGTTTTTCTTTTTCATTAAACCCTCGCACAAAAAAGTTTTCTCATTTGTACTATATCTTTAGTGTTTAGAATTTTCTGTTGGAAAACCTGCTTAATAAATTGAAATAATAATATATAATAATTATTTACAGTTGTTGAATTATGAAGCACAAACATTGCTATTTATAGAATCAGTGGTTTTTCTCATTTAATTAAGATGAGGCTTTAGCCTCTTGATTTTGGGACAATAAAATAATCGCTAAAATTGTTAATTTGGGAAGAAAAAAAGCTGGTGTAAGTTTAGACTTTTGGGAAAACTGCATGATTTTAAAGAAAATTTCACTTTGGAACAGGCCATTTATAGGCCTCTGTTATAACGTATATAAGGCAATCTCATTAAAGTTATATCATTACTGATGCTCCACTGACTTCGTAGCTAAGAGTAACATAGCAAAATCGATGATCTGATTTTAAAAATGGGATTGTTATAAGGTGAAAAATCACTGATAATTTTTGTTGTATATAATTATGTTTATTGCTAACAAAACCAAACGTTAATGTTATATTATAAACAGTGGCGCGGAAGACAAGCACGGTTATCTGTGGGATCGTCACTATGGCCTATGTCTGCACAAATACCCGCACACAGACGTCGTGAATTCTGTAGCATTTAATCCCGCTGATCCAGAAGTTCTTGTTACAGTTAGTGATGATTTCTCCATCAAAATATGGCGATCATTGAGCCGAGAAAAAGAGGTATGCTTTAGAGTTACATTATGTTACATTTGATATTTTCCAAATTATATGCCCCGGTCACATATTCACGGATAATGCCACGGAAGAGCTACGGTCTAATCGTTCACGGATTACTACGGAAATGCGAAATTCCGTAGTCCGCTACGGTTCCAGTACGGACACACAACGGTATGAGTACGGAGTTTGACGGATTTACCACCAAAATCCCCGGGGAGAGACACGGATTGTTACGGAGCGACACGAATCAGGACGGATGCACTACGGATACACTACGGTATAAGCACGGGTTTGTACGAATTAGTACAGGTCTGATACGGAGAAGAACGAATTGATACGGAGAAGAACGTATTGCCACGGACCTATTGTATCCGTCCACAACCCCTTGCATGCTCATTTTCAAAATGCCTCACAAGAAAAGAACACCTAGAAAACGAATTGCAGAGTTCAATGATTTTGGCGGAGGGGATTCGGCCTCATCGCATCCGACCCCGAGTCATATCAGGTCCGATTAAAGTGAATTTCATGAAGGACGCCAGATCCTCATACTTAACATGAAGGGGTCTTCGTAAACCCCATTTCTAGTCCACCATCAACTCTTACCTGATTAGATATGGGCTAGTAATCATTAAAGAAAAATGTTGATCAATACTGCTTTTCTTTTTTGAAATTTGCTGTTCATTTTACAATAACATTAATTATCATGAATGTTTATGTTTTAAAAATATGTAAAAAGCTTATTAATTAATCTTATTATCACACAAGGGCTAGCGTCCGAGGCTTATGAGACACTTCGTTTTATGTACATATTTACTCCAATTTCACGATCCAAATTAATGTTTGTAAGATATGTAACATTAAATTCTATTCTATTACTTATGAATTGTGGTACGATTTTAATATATTTTTACCTCTGTGCATGTCATCAAGCAGCTCGACCACTGCCTCCGCATTCTGAGCTATTTCAATATAAAGTTGCAGCCAGTAAATGGCAATTATCATTTATTGAATATTCACGCAAATATGTCTATTTTAACAAGAAAGTAGTATTTATACCCTTGAAAAAGTTCATGATACTATTAATTTATTCCACGTATGTAATATAAATCCGTGTTTATCCGTACTAAACAGTGGTGGACCGTACCATTCTGTACCGTTTCGTGTTGCAACGCAATAAACCGTATAAGACCGTGCTAATCCCTGCATCTCCGTAGTACAACGTATTACGATCGTAGCTTTCCGTGACAATGCCGTATTAATCCGTATTAAAACCGTAGCTTATACGTAGGGTAACCGTACAAATACGTAGTTCTTCGTAGTTCTTCGTACCAAACCGTGGAAATCCGTAGCAGGTTGAGGCCTACGAATCAGTACGGACTAGTACGGTTTCCGTACGGACCAGTACGTAACAGTACGGTTTAATACGGACTAGTAGGGATACGCTACGGTTGATTTTTCCGTAGCAAATTTTTGTGCATGTTCAAAAATTGTCAAGGATCGCTACGGATATACAAGGACTACTACGATTGATTACGGTTACAATACGGAGAGCTACAGACCAGTACGGGTAGCTACGGACGATGCCGGAATTAATCCGTGGCTCTTCCGTGGGCGTATTCCGTGAATATGTGACCGGGGTATTACTTTGTTAGAGTCCAATGCATTTGACCCACAGTAAAAAGGCACAGCCCTGTGGAGATTGTCAGATTGGTAAAACACCAGCTAAATGCAAGGCCAAATGCAGCACACTGAAATTTGAACTTATTTTTCGGCTAGTTTCATAAAAAACGAAACCGTTGTACCACATTGATCCTGTTTTTCCGAAATACCCAGGGATGAGGATAATTGTGTTTGACAAGTACTTAAAGGGAGACACAGGCAAAATTTTCATTTCTTAGTTTTTAGTTTTTCAGTCATTATTCTGTAAATGACCTCAAAATGAATATATTTGACAGTCAAAGGAAATAAACTTTTCTCCATATAAAGAATAAAATGGCGGTTTCCTAACTTGACCCGCGTGGGTCAGGTTAGATCTCGAGCGCAATGATTTCACAATAGTTGTCAAAGTGAACTCTGGAAACGTTAAAGAACATGTCAAATGAATGACTAAGACTTGTTTCAATCATATAAAATCCATAATATCTGTTATTGTAACTTCAAGGGTTTGTTCAAGTCATGTGACTTGTTTTAAAACTACTTGGTGATTCTATTTGGGTCTAAATTTTGTTCAACATATATATATATATATTTATGCTTCAAACCCAAAATATTTAGAATTTAAACAGAAATTCATGCTGAAACTTCAAGAAATGTCATTTTAGCGTGGTTTGAGTACATAAGATCATTTTAATATTTTTGTCATTATTTTGCCTAAATATCCCTTTAACTGACCTATGATATTATATCTGACAGCATACGTTTATCATGATTAGCTAGAACAAAAAATTGAACCAGACTTGTGAACATTGTTAACAAGTTTACTACTACATGTACTTTTCAGGTCTTCAGCACCAAATAACCTTTAAATAAGCTGTGCTGTAGAACCAAACAAAACAAACTTTAGTCATCAGGCAATTGTAGTGTATGACTGAAGAATTGGACAAAAACATTATAGAAGTCATGAGTTTATTAACAAGTCATGTGTTTATTAACAAGAAATATGTAACTTGTGATGAAAAGAAAGTAATATTTATGATTTTCCAAATTGAAGTACAGTCAAACTCTATGTTAAAGACCACCTCTGAATAAAGATAATCCTGCATATAAAGGCCACTTTTTGATATTCCTGCATTGATCAAATATAAAGAAGTTAAATAACCTCCAAAAAAAGACCACCTGTATATAAGGACCATTATTTGTATTTCCATTGGGTATCCTATGTTAACAGGTTAGACTGTATTGTTTTTAAATTTATGGTCTCATTATATTTTATAGAGAATTTTCTTACATAATTATATATTCACCTTATTATATTGTTGAATTTTCTAACAACTGTACTGTCTATACCAGGTTGTTAAAGCATTCAACAAAGAGCACAGTATAAGGGTGAAGCATGTACAAGCTTTAATGTCAGAAACAAGCGAGTTTGACGAGAAGGTTAGCAGTTTCGAGGAAAAAACTTGAACGTTCGACAGAAATTCCACTTTGCTCGGTTAATACTGTGGTATGACCTAGACACGATGAATTTCGAAAATGGAAACCTGGTTCCAATTTTTCTGATGAAGGGAAAATGGGAAAATTGTTTAAGGCCTTTTGCCTATAGATGTTTATAAAGCGCTGATCATCTGTAACTAATAGAGGCTCATTGTGTTAAGTTTGTATAATGTAGTCACGAGAAGAAGGCTTATAAGTTTGTTTGTTACATTATGGTCATAAAATTTTGCTATGTAGATACTGATTATTATATGGAGATCATGAAACAATATTTACTCATAAACAGAGTTCTAATATGTTAATAATAAGAAATGAGTTTTTGCATCATTTGGAATAGTTATGTATAATTCATGCTTATGATTTTATTTGCACGGCAAATGCATTTTTCCATTCCATAACAATTCTATGGTTTTGTAATATTTTCTGATTTATTAGGAAGATCCAAGTGTCGTATGGTGATATAATGTTTTCTAATTTATATCTAAGAATGGCATGTGCATTTTGGGCTTCAGTTTCCAAGTGGTTAACGCTGCCAACTTCAAATCACTTACTCCTCATTACTGTGGGTTTGAATCCCATTGGGGACTTTGGATTCTTTCATACGAGGAAGATATCAAGCTAGCTTTTTGAAGCTTGTTGGTACTCAGGGGTCCGTCCATGCCTGAAATAATGCACAAAAGGGGCACCTGAGCTCTTCCTCCACCAGTAAATCTGGAAAGTCGCCTTATGATCTTTACAGTATTGGTGTGACTTAAAATCCAATAAAACAAGCATGCCCAATTAAAATACTCGATCAACATTTTATGTACAGCTATGCTTTTACAATGTACATCAAAAGTGCTTGCTACATATCTATCTATCTTCCATTATTGTCAAATCCCTAGCAGGGACGTAGAGATATTCCCATATTTTTGTTTGCTTGTAAAAAAGGCTAGAAGCATGTTTAAACAACTCCTGATATTGTTGTTTTTAGAACAAACTCTTTACTACTGGCTGACTTACTTTCAGTTTTCATCTTGTTACCCCAGAAATTGATAATAGACTGTTCTAAAAATAAAAGCTGGACAAGTGCATTTAAGAAAGTGAGCAGTTAAAGGTTAAAATTATTTGAATTTCTGTTTCTCAATGATTATTGTTATAAAAATATCCCTTTTACAGAATTTGTGTCTGACAAAGGACTCTAAATTCAAGTCTTACAACAGACCCTTTATTCATGTCTTGACAACAGACCTTGTATTTGTGTCTGACAACAGACCCAGTATTTGTATCTAACAACAGACTATTTGTGTCTACAAAAGACCCTATATTGGTGTCTGACAACAGACCCAATATTAGTGTCTGACAACAGACTCTATATTTGTGTCTGACAACAGATTATATATTTGTGTCTGACAACAAACCCTATATAATAGTGTCTGACAGCATACCCTATATTTGTGTCTGATAACAGACTCTATATTTGTGTCTGAAAACAGACCCTATATTTGTGTCTGACAACAGACTATATTTGTGTCTGATAACAGACTCTATATTTGTGTCTGAAAACAGACCCTTTATTTGTGTCTGACAACAGACTATATTTGTGTCTGAAAACAGACCCTATATTTGTGTCTGACAACAGATTATATTTGTGTCTGACAACAAACTATATTTGTGTCTGATAACAGACTCTATATTTGTGTCTGAAAACAGACCCTATATTTGTGTCTGACAACAGACTATATTTGTGTCTGAAAACAGACCCTATATTTGTGTCTGACAACAGATTATATTTGTGTCTGATAACAGACTCTATATTTGTGTCTGACAACAGACCTTATATTTGTGTCTACTTTATATTTGTGTCTGACAACAGACCTTATATTTGTGTCTGACAACAGACCCTATATTTGTGTCTTAAAACAGATCTTATATTTTGTGTCTGAAAACAGACCCTTTATTTGTTTCTGACAACAGACCCTATATTATAGAGTCTGACAACAGACCCTATATTTGTATCTGACAAATTGAATTTTTCTTACCTATCAAATCTGTTAACTTCAACCTTCAAATAAACACGGGTGCTTTCATTAATTATCTATAATACTTATTGTTTTGCTGTGTTATTTTTTTATGCCACCGCAGCATCTGCGATGCGGTGGCATATAGCGATTCACCTGTGTGTGTGTGTGTTTGTTTGTTTGTTTGTGTGTGTGTGTGTGTGTGTGTTATATAGATTATATAGTGAACTTAAAAAATCTTCTTGTGAAAAACCACTAGTCCAATTTCAACCAAACTTGGTAGGATTGATCCTTGGGTGAAGGGCTTCCAAAGTTGTTCAAAGAATTTAATTCCATGTACAAATCTGGTTGCCATGGCAACCAAAAGGAATTATAAGAATAAATTTAAAAAATCTTCTTGTAAAGACCCAAAAGGCCGAGACCTTAGATATTTTGCATAAGGCATTGTCTGGTAGACCTCTACCAAGATTGTTCAAATTATAGCCCTGGGGTCAAAATCGGCCCCGCCCCGGGGGTCATTGATTTTCACTAAATGTACATATAGTAAAAACTTAAAATACCTTTTTGTAAAGACCCATAGGCCTAGAGCTTAGATATTTTGCATAAGGCATTTTCTGGTAGACCTCTACCAATATTGTACAAATTATAGCCCTGGGGTCAAAATCAGCCCTGCCCCGGGGGTCATGGATTTTCACTATATGTACATATAGTAAAAATTTAAAATACCTTCTTGTAAAGACCCAAAAGGCCTAAAGCTTAGATATTTTGCATAAGGCATTGTCTGATAGGCTTCCAAAGTTGTTCAAAGAATTTAATTCCATGTACAAATCTGGTTGCCATGGCAACCAAAAGGAATTATAAGAATAAATTTAAAAAATCTTCTTGTAAAGACCCAAAAGGCCTAGACCTTAGATATTTTGCATAAGGCATTGTCTGGTAGACCTCTACCAAGATTGTTCAAATTATAGCCCTGGGGTCAAAATCGGCCCCGCCCCGGGGGTCATTGATTTTCACTATATGTACATATAGTAAAAACTTAAAATACCTTTTTGTAAAGACCCATAGGCCTAGAGCTTAGATATTTTGCATAAGGCATTTTCTGGTAGACCTCTACCAATATTGTACAAATTATAGCCCTGGGGTCAAAATCAGCCCTGCCCCGGGGGTCATGGATTTTCACTATATGTACATATAGTAAAAATTTAAAATACCTTCTTGTAAAGACCCAAAAGGCCTAAAGCTTAGATATTTTGCATAAGGCATTGTCTGATAGACCTCTACCCAGATTGTTCAAATTATAGCCCTGGGGTCAAAATCGGCCCGGCCCCGGGGGTCATTGATTTTACTCATATTTACATAGTAAAAACTTATAGTAAAAAAAATTCTTCTAGCAATTGACAAATGCTAGAGGTTAGATACTTTGCATGAAACATTGTGAAGTGAACCTCTAGCAAGAATGTTCAAATAATAGCCCTGGGGTCAAAATTGCCCCCGCCCCGGGGTCATTGATTTTCAATATATACATATAGTAAAAAATGAAAAAAATATTATTGTCTGAAGGTACAAGGCTTAGAGCTTTAATATTTGTTAAATACTCTAAATACTCTACCAAAGTTGTTCAAATTTTGCCTCTAGTGTCAAAATTAAAAGTGAAATTTGATATCAGCTGACCTAGATTTTGACAAAGTGTATTACATGTTGTCCTTTGATGCAGTCATGAAATTTTAGGCTGTGTGAAATATGACCTTCACCACCAAATTCACTAGACTCAAGTGCATTGATATATTCCTACTCTGATCTTTTATTGAGTTAACAATAGATTTAACCACTAATCTGATAATAAGAATTAGATATGCATTATGACAATCTTCAATTGTATAGAAACAAAAAAATCTGTTCCTACACTACTATTTAGTGTTGTATTATTGCGGTGGCATAGCATTTTTCTCAAATGCAATCTTGTTTTCAACTTTTATTTATTATATACATTTTCTTGTTATTTTATTGAGATTTTATTTGTTATCATTAATTTTATGCGTGCAATATTGCTGTATTATCACATACTTTCTAAAGATTTGAGAGAGTTTACCCCCCACTTGTAAGATTATTTTTCCCTTATAACATGCCCTCTTTAATGGCCCCCAAATTGATATTTGACAGATTTTATCCCCACTTATAAGATAATTTTCCCCCACCATATAATATGCTCTCTTCTTTATGGTACCCAAATTTATATTAATTTCTATTTTATCCTGCAGGAAATTTAACTATCTTAGCAACAAGGCATGTACTTTTTTGTTAATATCTGTGTTTAATATACATATAATTAAGTTAGCAAAAAATGGCGGGCCAGTTAAAGCAGGAGACAATTTCTTGTAATCCTATTTTTAGCGGGACCTATATTACAGAGGGATAAGAAGCTCTAAAAATAGAAAAATTTCCAATCCTGACCCACAATCTTTTGCGCAAGATTAATTGGCCCTTGAAGTAGATCAATTTCCACCATCTTGTATTATGTAACCAAATTTCTTTACATTTTCATCCATTACTGAGAATAATTTACATCTTTTGAAAAAAAAAAATTTGCAACTTCTTTTTTATCACTTCTTTTGACAAATAACAAATTTTAGATAACATGACAGCATAAATATCGGTGAGATTTGTAGTGTCAAACTAGATCTCAGAAAATCTCACAACTGTGTGAACTTGCAGGATAATTAAAATAGCTGATACAGATTTTAAGTGTAATAAGGTCATAGCTTCCTCTCTATTTAAATATAGCTCTGTGTCTTTAGAAAGTATGTTTTAAACTGTGTATGATGTGGCAAATTTCATGTCTGCCCTTTATACCATTGACTTATAATCGTAAGCTAATCTAGATTTTTGGGAGTTCTAAATGGGTCACATTAGACACAATATGAAATTTGCCATAAAGTAATACACTTATATAGAAATTTAGAATTTCGGTATTTAGTGCCATGAAAAGAATTTGATTTTTTTACTAAAATAGATAAAATATATAAAGCTTTAAAAAAAATAATTATCTTCCATTTATGTCAGTCTATATATGACTTCCTTTTACGGTACAATGTTAACCTTAATTGTTAGTTTTGCTGGTATCTATGTAGTGATAGCTGGTGCCCTTGTTTTAGTAGCTGGTACCTATCTAGTTATGTCTAGTACTTCTGTATTAGTGTCTGGTTCCCATGTATTTATAGCTGGTACCTACTTATTTGATGTCTAGAACCTATGTTTTGATAGCTGGTCCTAATGTATTTAGAGCTGGTACCCTTATATTAATGACTGGTACCTTACTGTGTTTCTTACTAGTTCCTTTTATATTGGAAGCTGGTAAAATGATAACTATAAATTGATGTTTGGTACTTGGTTATGAGGTATAAGTGTCTTAGGTTACAACAGAAACAAAATTTTCCAGTCAACCTTTTTCTTCACTTTTGGAGTAACAGTTTCATACAAGGGGCTTTACATGGAACATAATTATAAAGATTTTTAGAGACAGATGATACATTTAGAATGTAAAAAAAACCAACAATGAAGTGGTCCAATTCAAAGAACATTATTCAGCCACCTTTTGAATTGACTTGTAATCAATTTGTAGATAATGTAGATATGTAGACTGTTAATAATAGTGCTGTTTGGATATTAAGCCATTTCGTTTTGCTGATTTTTATGTGTTAAATAATTATTGTATTGTTGGTGTACTAAAATATCTGTTGTTATGTAATGTAAATTTGATATTTAAAAAAATTATGTTTAACCTCAGTGTTAAATACCTTTTTGGGTTATATTTGTTGAATTTTGTGATTTTTACTAAGCAGCTATTCATATGCTACTTGTGTGAGGAATACAATATATGAGCCGTGTCACGACAAAACCAACATAATGGGTTTGCGACCAGCATGGATCCAGACCAGCCTGCGCATCCGCGCAGTCTGATCAGGATCCATGCTGTTCGCTTACAAACCCTATAACAAGTAGAGAAACTGATAGCGAACGGCATGGATCCTGATCAGACTGCGCGGATGCGCAGGCTGGTCTGGATCCATGCTGGTCGCAAACCCATTATGTTGGTTTTGTCGTGACACGGCTCAATTTATGTATCTTGTTGAAATGTATATAATATTTGCCAAAAATGAAATAAAATCTTGAATTATAGTCCATTTAGCAATCTGCATCTTAGTTTTGGAAAGCATCATGTTGAAAAAAACGAAACACCACCAGTGTTTTTTTTATTCGCAAAGGCTTATTTACCTGTATTTTCTTGATCTTGGACGTTTATTTTTGATAGATGTTTTCTTGGTTCTGAACGTTTTTCTTGATTTTGGATATTCTTTAATTTAATATAATATAATTTCTTTAAAGCTTCCACTTATTGAAGAATAATTCTCCAAACTAACCCCCTTTCTAAAGAATTTTCTGATTAAATTTTTTTTTTCAGTTTTCGCTCCACAACCACTGAAATAGAATTTTAGTAGACAGATAGTTTAATGGGATTACTTAAAGTTAAACCCTTACCACCATTATTATCTAAAATGGACTTGTCCATGTTTCAATCTGGACTAATCCATTAATGACTTTTTGGGGATAATTTGAAAGTAAGTTCTGACTAAACAGCTAACAGGGGCATAGAAGTGTGTCTATATGTTATGATAAAAAATGTAAGATTCTTACTAATTTACATAAGGCCAGAAAACAAGGCCGGAAAACACAAAAAAAAATGACTAAAATTTTGTAAAAAGTTGCCAATTTTAAGATTTTGTAATAAATATTGCTGCCAAATTTGCTGTAATAATTGTATTTTTAAACAAGAAATAATACTCTGTTATTGTTTTTAAGTCAGTTAGTTTAAGTGTAACAACTATAGACATATATGTAACCTTCATTGTAAAAATTCACTCATATATTAAAAGGCTCACTCCACTGAGGTTTTTTTGTCATGACGGGACTGAAAATATATTTTCGAGATCAATGTAGCATTTAATGAAGGTTTCAGACCAATAACTTGTGTGCAAAATTCCAGGTCTTTCCCTCACTCTGTTTTTCCAGGAAAGTGATTCTTATTGTCAAAAATGAACCAAATTAAAAAGTGCAACATTTTTTGCTCAAATTTGGCTAGGAATGGCACAAAAATGTCATTTTCAAGTTAATTTTGAGTATATTCCATGATTTTTCCAATGTATTTATCTTTTGCATATCTTTCTGTTTGAAGTGCTTCAGCTGATCCATGTAAGAAATTGAAATTAAAATTTTTAGGCTTTTGGAGCTCAGTTGAGTCCCTTTAAGGCTAAAAAAAAGTTTAACAGATTTCATATGTTTATGATAAACAACTATTATATGTAAACCTAATTGTAAAAATTTACAATGTCCTCCGTTATTAAGGTAAATAAGTAAAAGTAAATTACATACATGTATGTTTGGTTTTAACAACTATATATGTAAACCTTTATTGTAAAAATATACACTTTTATTACGGTTAATTAGAATTCATTAAAGATTACATAATTATGTTTGTGAGAAACAACTATATGTGTAAACCCTTATTGTAAAAATATACACTTTTATTACGGTTAATTAGAGTTTATTAGAGATTACATAATTATGTTTGTGACAAACAACTATAAGTGTAAACCTAATTGTTATACATGTCTCTTTAAACAAACATTGTTAAAAAAAAATGCTGTTTCTTTTTTTCGCTCCCTATGTTGTAAAAGTTATTTTATTTGCGTTGATTATTGTTTTTATGCCACCGCAGCATCTGCGATGCGGTGGCATATAGCGATTCACCTGTGTGTGTGTTTGTTTGTGTGTGTGTGTGTTATATAGATTATATAGTGAACTTAAAAAATCTTCTTGTGAAAAACCACTTGTCCAATTTCAACCAAACTTGGCAGGATTGATCCTTGGGTGAAGGGCTTCCAAAGTTGTTCAAAGAATTTCATTCCATGCAGAAATCTGGTTGCCATGGCAACCAATAGGAATTATAAGAATAAATTTAAAAAATCTTCTTGTAAAGACCCAAAAGGCCTAGAGCTTAGATATTTTGCATAAGGCATTGTCTGGTAGACCTCTACCAAGATTGTTCAAATTATAACCCTGGGTCAAAATCGGCCCCGCCCCTGGGGTCATTGATTTTCACTATATGTACATATAGTAAAAACTTAAAATAACTCTTGTAAAGACCCAAAAGGCCTAGAGCTTAGATATTTTTGTATAAGGCATTGTCTGGTAGACCTCTACCAAGATTATTCAAATTATAACCCTG